TTTCCCCGGCCAGGACTACTTCACTCAGCAGTTCGAGCAGTTGCGTCTCCAGTTCCTCTCTCTCTCTCTCTCTCTCTATGAGTAGAACCCTTCTCTCACTTGGGTATGAAGAACCCTAGTTCCATGTGTTAGGGATTTGATTGCAATGACTTGGGATGATTATATTGTTTGGTTTTAATCGAATGATGCATGTTTCATTGAATTGATTGAAGTCTGATCAGCTTTTCTTGATTTCTGCTGCAACCTGAGATAGATAGAATCTGATTAGGTTGTTAGAGCTTCTTCATTCGGTAGTAGGAGATTGGCTATACGAGAGTTAGTCAGTCTACTGCTTTGTACTGGAATCCAATTCCAGTAGTGGAGTTCTGTGCTTATTGCTTCAGCTTTCTATCACGTTGAAGACTAGTCGTCTGCCGGGTAGTTAGACTGAGAGGGCTTGGTTAGCTTAAGAGATTCCAAGCTACTGTCGGATCTTCCGTAGTCTAATCAACAGTAAATCAACCCAGGGCAATTACAATTGAGACCTAACTAAGGAGCTAGGGGGACTCATTCCCGAGTGACTCTTTCTTTGCTTGAGAAAACCGAACCAATTCCTGCTTTCTTTCTGCTTTTAGTTAAAACAACAATCAATCGACTTAGTTGGCTAGATAATAGATAATCATGGAGTAGGTAGTAGATCTAGACCCCGGGTTGATATTTAGAACTTGCCACTTTACTGCAGTCCCATTCTGCGATTACACTTGGTAGCAGTTTGGTATTGTGTTTTGGCGTGTCACTGGTCCACCGGGTATAATAGGGGTTGGAAGTGGTGAGAGATTCCTATTCGTCGTAGAAGGGCGCTAGTCCGTGCTATGCAACCACGGTGTCGTGGTAGGTGGACCCTCCGTGTGCGGTCGAGGACTATCCACACTCATACGGTGGGGAGTGGACTGCCATTGTTGTTGCGGTCGATGCAAAGGTGAGAATTCTTGGTGGGGACTTGATAATGAACCATCGGCCCAAGTAGCTGAGGATGTGGCGTCATGAAATGTACTTGGCCGGGGATCATACTGGAAACTAGGCCGGAGATTGTATTTGAAACTCGACCGGGGATCATAGTGGCTATCGGGCGTGGGATCATAGTGGAAACTAGGGCGATGCTCATGTTGAGTACTGGGGTCGTAGAAAGCACTTGGTCGTGGATCGTAGTGAAAACTCGACCGGGGTTCATACTGAGTACTCGACCCTTCCACGCCTCAATCGGATTGATCTCCGGCACGTGAGGTAGATCCCTTGTAGCCTTGTTTGGCCTTCTATTGACCGGCGGAGGCACGTGGGGGACATCTTCCGTCACCGGCTGCGGTGTAACTGGGGAAACTAGCGGATATCTGTGATGGTCATGTGAGCGTGCTCTCATACAACCAAGGAGACTGTTCGCTATCCTTCGAATGAGCCTCACCTCTCGACCCGCAGCTGAATGATCTGCAATATGAGCGAGGTCGTGTATACGCTCGATGCCATCAACCTAAATCGAAGAAAATAACAACGTGAGCCATTTAAGTAGTAATGTACTACATGCCTTAATAAATAAATTAATATGAGTGAATTACTTACCAAAGCTCCGTCCGCCGCACCTTTGGGGGTCATGTAACGAACAGATTGTCTTCAGTATGTTTCCATGTATGGGTCATGGTAGTCCATCCGCCCCACATCTGATGTTGTCACAATATCATGATCTTGCCTAACGTTCCACAGAGCGATCAATTCTGCAAACTCCTCCAGCCAATTAGTAGATCCTTGTCGACCATCTTTCCCGTGGTACCCCCTCGGACTCGTCAAGACTTCCAATGGTAGTCATTGCTCACGCCCGAATTGTCGTAGACATCGATCCGGCAAGTGTCACTCCACTACATGAAGGCAGATTAGTGGCACTCGGGTGCACCATTGAGCGGGATGCAACGAGAACTTGTGGACGTGATGCGCGATGATGCGTTCTGGATACGGATCGAACTTAAGCTATGAAGGTGCAGATAAATTGACCAATAAGAAACATAATTATATAAATTGAAAATAAAGCAGGAAGTAATAGTGTAATATGATGGTTACCTCTGCTTCCCAAAAGCGATCCAGCCTCCTATGATACTCCTCCACTTATATGCTCCTAGGTTGTCGCACGTTTTTTCACCAAGCCACCTATTAATTCCAAAAAGTAAATCATGTTAATACATAATAAAAATTTTGTTATAAAATACTGAATTAGTAAAAAAAAAAGGTGAGAACTATGAGTGGGATAGAAAATATTTACCTACAACCATAAGCTTCATGTCGTAGGGGATGGTCGGGTCCCCATATCTTGTCGGGGTCTACCTTCGGCGCAATCCATGGCAAATGCTCCCAAGCCCAAAATTGGACGATAAACATAGCCCCATCAATCTCCTTCAGCGCTCTCGCACTAGCATTACAGAGGGAGCGGTAGAGATGAGCTAGGCAAGCAGATGCCCAGCTCAGGTTTCCCATATCATCCCAATCTCCAAGTATGATCTTCAACCATGAATTGCTGATTAAATTGTTGGATTTTTTGGGGAAGAAAACTCCTCCGATCATGCCGAGGATGTAGATATGTGCATAAATGTCTTTATCACACTTCGAACTTTTCTCTGTGAGGAGAATGCCTCCGAACTCAGGGTTGTGCTTACGCCTGATCTCCGCTGTCAATCAAGTGATGGATACTTGGCCCTTGGACAATGGTGGATTACCATCCGCATCGTGATCTTCCTTTTCTGGCGGACACAACCCGGTGACCGTCCATATAAAATGCTGTCAACCACTCATATTAGCAACAACTTTAGGTGGTGTAGTAGAGTCCACACAAATAACATCGCCATCAATGGCAAATCGGTTAGGATGGCGATGTCCTTAAGTGTGATGGTGCACTCGCCTTCACGAAAATTGAAGTTGTGTGTCTCCTTTTGCCATCTCTCTACCAATGTTGTGATGAGTTGGCGGTCGATCTTGATTCCATTAAAGTGCCTAATCGAATCCAATCTTGCCCTTTTTAGACAGGGCAAGATGACGTCGTTCCATTCAAGCACATTCGTCGTACCCCTATAGTAGACTATATGGTATGCATCCTAGAGAAGAATTTAACTTTCACTATAAGTTGATGATTTATACATATATAGATATATTATAACAAACAATATTAATTAAATCAAGGTTGTTTTAGAGAAATATACATTATCTAATAAACATTAATTTTAACATAACTAAAATAATTTTCAAAATTTAAGTACAATTATTTTTTTACACATTCACATAAAATCAAATATATTATTTTGTTAATCGTATTGATTGTTTTCAATAATTTAAAGCAATACAAGTACACTCGTAAGACTCTTATGAGAGGTATACATCTCCTTAGAAACACAGTCTTTTTGACAGAAAAAGGGGGGATCCGAGGATCGCTTAGAACCCGATTTTCCCAGGTCATGGGGGGGTCATGATGATCGCTTAAGACCCCATTTCCTTAGACATGCATTTCTTTATAAAGAGTCTGAATAAGTGTTGTATTGTATTGATTTAAATTATTGAAAATAATCAATACGATTAACAATTAAGTAAATTATTGTACAAACAAATAAATTACGTTAACAAAATAAAAATTACAAGTGATGATAAATAATATGTACCTTGTGGTCGTTCCAAACGCCTCTTAAACGATGATTGGCTTGATCGTATAAAATAGTCGGATCAATCAGTCGTTGATTGTATATATCAACATCTGGCCCAACCTACGATAGCATAACAACAACATAAATCAATTAGTATATATATTAAATAAATCATTATAACAACAACAAAAATTGGGTAAAATGAGTACGTACCGCTTGATAATCATCATAGTAAATACCCTCTTCTTGGATAAAATCGACCATTTTTCAGAATCCGGACAGAGATTCGATGTTTTTTTAGTGAAAACCAAAGAAAAAGTTTTTTGAAAGCAGATCGGACTTAGCCGCAACCAACTAAACAACTACTTCTAAGGTTTTTGGGTGGGGAGGGGGGTGGGTAGAGTGACGAACTTAGAGAGGGGGAATGGGGGTTTGGTGTGCAGAAAATAAGAGGAGGGTAGGGTTTTTATAGGGACGAAACCTCGTGTTGGAGGGGCGGTTTTGTCTTTTTACCCCACGCAAAATCACGCCTCCAGCACGCGGTTTACGTTCCCCAACGCGGAAACCGCGCCTCGGGGCAACGGTTTGACTGAGCGACGCGTATTGCTGCGCTAGCAGGCGGTTTGGCTGTCAGATCGCCTGCCCATTGCGCGGTTGAATCGGCCGCCACGTGGCGACGCGTTTTGACAGTTTCGAAGGGTCAAACCGCCCCTTGCCCGCACGGTTTGACTATGAACCGCGCCTTCAAGACGCGTTTTGACTTAGAACCGCCCCTTCGAAACGCGTTTTGTGTGGAAGGGTGGTATTTTTGAAAATTGTTGCGAATAAGTGATATTTTTATAATTTTTTTTTTTTAACCGTGGTAGTTTTGGATTTTTTCCTATGTATCCTCCTGCTACTGTCTTCCCAATTCTTTCTGTTGCACAATAAAGCTTCGATAAGAATGCATATCGAAACAATTTCTTTGTGCCTCATCGACAGATTCATGTAAACACAACCTTAGGCAGACAAAAAAACAGCAGCACGCACCGCCACGAGACAAGCGTCCGAAACTTTCGTGAACAATTTCACATCCTTCCATGTGATTACAGAGACATAACAGGTTTGACATGTGAACATTTCCAACCAACGGAAGTTCAGATCTTGCCCAACCCACAAACATCAAACTCGTAGAAGCTTCAACACAGAACAATGAGCAATACATACACGACCTTTACTTCTTTTACTTCGATCACAAAAAATTCCGATCGCAAATGTGCCTAGAATCCTTGAGCTATGATATAAACCATCGGGAACTTAAATGAATAAGAACAACTACATTGAAGACTGTTATCTGCACCGTTTGATGCATCATACTAATCCGAAGAACTGTTCCAGTGATGAAGAGCTGAAAACGTTTCCAGGCGACCGTTCAAGTTTTGTTGGAGAGACATGGAGTTGATACTTGATAAACCTCTGCAGATCAGAGGGGGGGAAATGAATACAGATTGTGAGCAAAAGAAGCATGCATAGCCAGGATTTACAATCAAATTCCTCGGTCCAAATATGAAAGTGGGAGTTGCAGGATATTTACAGCTAATTGGGTAACAATTTCAGCACTGCTGTCAATATGCCAGTCTGGTTCTAGTTGGCGAACAAAAGATGTGCGTCCAGTTTCTGTGCTGCAAAAGAGAACCTGCAGGAAGGATGATGAACATTTTAATAGAAGTGAAAAATGAACAGAACAAAAGCAAAATGGATGAGCAAGAACAAACTAATCTCAATTGAAGCTTATAATGTAGCACAGCTAATGGTTTGCGCTGACTAAATCAACTGGAAATTAACTGTTTGGCTAACTCATAAACAGCCTCCAGCTTGGCGCACCCAGTAGATCAAACACAGCAGTATTCTACTTCTATCTAGCTGTTAAATTACAAAGAAATGCTACAACATAGCATCAAGGTTGGCTAAAAGGGCTTTCCTTTGTCAACCCAAATTATCATCAGTGCCAATTACTGCTAGAAATTCACTAAAAGCTATGGATTTTTACTTTTCAAGTTTCAACCATCAACGGGTGCCAGAGCTAGTCTCTGATGTCTTCAAAGCCAGTGGATTCCAATTGCACTATAATTTGCCAAGTGTTAGGGCAGCCAACGGGAGTCAGTAAAACACCAGTTTATGACTTTTCAAAAGGTCAAACTGGGAACATTATTTACAATGGTATGAAAACTTGGGTAAATGTATCGTAAACTCAGGCAATAGTATTTATTTAATCGTTTCACAAGCTTTCTTAGGCAGGAGATATGGAAATGATTCGAGTAAAAATGATATGGACAAGAACAGTCATATAGAGCTCCTCCAATGAGAACAAATATTTTGCCTGTCAATTAAAGAGCTATTAATTACCTTGTCTTTCACCAAGCCCCCAGAGGAGAAAACTCCCGCATTCTCTAAAGCAGCAAGTACTTTTTGCTGTAGCCAAAAAGTGAACAAGGAAATTTACTTCTCGAAGAAGGCCAAACACAAGAGGTAAAGTAGAAAACCAACAAATAATAAACTAGCTATTATAGGGATTAGCAAGTTGTAACTCGTATGATTTCCCCCACAGCATATTCAGATGAAGGAATCGACAAAATAACAACACAAGCCACACAAGTAACAAAATATTCAGCTTTGAAATTTGAACATACTTCACTTTCATCATCAAGAACTCTTTCCATGAGATAAAGATCACAAAACTTGGTGATCTCAAACAAAACTTCTAGAACAGAGGATCTGACTCTTGCTTGTTTCTGTTGATAAAAAAAATTAACCAAGTTATTACTTTGAGCCAATACTATGCGACAATATAAAAGTAGAAATAAGTAAGAATTTGTGAACCTGGAGCTCTTCTGGTGTATTTTCTTCAAGGATTACTCCAAGCAAACGACAAGTGACCTACAAAGGAGGACGATGAAGCATTATATCCTTAGGGCATGACATTCTTGATGAAACAAAGAGTTAACCCCATGCCCAATAAACAACAGCCTTAACAATTCCGAAATCAGCAGAACTTAATGTTAAAGACCGCTAAGCTTCAAGAAAGTCATCACGGAAGTAAATATTTATGCAATATATTGGACCTCGTCAAGCAAAGTTCACCCCAATATCGAGTGATGTTAACAGAGAAAAGAAACAGCTAACCCTCTTCCTTCCGAAAGGAAAAGAAAATGAAAGAAGTACAATACTCCACTCTGCACCCCAAAAGGCAATGGGCTATCCAGCTTTATATTAAATAATGTCGAGAACATTACCTTTCTGCCTTCACTCAACTTTTGCCTCACTACTTGCCCCAAAGTTGGCTGAAGAACAATAAGTATACGAGGTTCACTAACATATTAAAAAAAACAATACAAAAAAAAGAAGCTAAAGTTGCCAGACTAAAAGAAAATTGTGCTCACTTTTACAGGCTGGAAGAACTCATCAACAACATTCTGGGCTCTCAAATCCTCTGAAGATGAACAAGCTCCAGAAGGCATTGATGCTACATTTGATTGTGTCCCTGCAGAAGAAGTGCTGGTTGTAGGAGTATGTCTTTTTGGTTGCCTTCTCTGGGGCACACTAGGCGACCTCAACAATCTCCATGTGAAAGCCACTGCAAGAGCAAGGCCTGCTATGGCCCCAGCAGACCGAGAATCCTGTTAATAAATGGAACATGGTGAGAAGTGACCATAGATTCTCCTTTCATCCCGGAATGGCCTAGTCCTCACCAACAAATCAGATAAAATTCAGGACAAAATTTTAAAACTTGGTGGAATGGGGTAAGCAACTATCAAACTCTGGCGTAACTAAACCTTAATTGGGAAAGTTAATCGTTTTAATGGGGTTCTAGCTACCACACTTCTGCTGTAACCCTGCTTGTAAAGCATGTGTGCAACTCCATGAGTTAAGATTTCTACCCACGAATTTTATTTATTTGAAAGCCGCAGCTCGAAACCATTCAATTAACTAAGATATGATTCCCCCAAAAATGTTCGTCAATAGATTATTAATACTGCTGAAGTAAACTTGGCCAACCAACAGAAAACGGGCTCTAGAAGGAGGAACAGAGTTCCAAAATCATAACTTTCACAAGCTCGAATAGGGACCAATCGCACAAAGTCCTACTTGACTCAGCACGGATTACTTCCGTGCATTTCGTTCTTCAACAACCAGAACCATAAGGGAACCAAATGATTGATTAGAACAAAAAATGGAACCAAGCAAGCAGCCATCCAGTAACGAGGGAGTATTATCGAATCAGAGAAAGCACAAGCACTCATGATTCAGCAGCAAGATCAATGAAATTTCCTAACCCAGGAAAGGAAGAAACGATAAGAGAGCAAGGGAGTGGGTAAGAACCAGATTACGGAGTGAGATCGGGACGAAATTCGACATCTTAACGCTCAAATAAGCTCCAAACCGCTTGATCAGCTGCAAGAGCTCTTCCTTTGATGACTCCACCATCCCCAAGCTTTAATATTTTTATCCTTCAATCCCTATCTCCCCTAAAAAAACTATGCTGACTACCAGCGCCCAGCAAATCGTAGGCACTACGGCTCTTCGCTAGAGCCAAAAAGAGTGATCAAAATCCACACTGCTCCACCGATTCGTCAGAGAGATTAGGTTCTCCGGTCTTCCGCCATTGATTAATACAGTATCGAGATTCGAGAGACGAAAAGATGAAGGATGGGGAAAAGAAGCCTCCTCTGGTTTGCGTCAACAATCGATTGGGGAGAGAGACATTGATGCGTTTTCCCTTTACTATTTGTATAGTATTTTTATTTTTTTCTTGATTGTTGGTCCAAAGTTTGAAGAGTTTAGACAGTTACATTTTAGCGTTAAAAGTTCCAATTTTTTTTTTTTATATAATGAGTCGTTTGTTAGGTGGATTTGAAAAATTAAAGTTTTGGTAAATTTTAATTTTTATAAAATCATAGATATATGTGAGAGTTTTTGTTGATCATGGTCTTGAAAAATATCATTCTTTGTTTCATAGATTTTATGATGGAATCGATTAATTAGATTTGATTGTATGAAGTTAAATTTACCTTTATTGCCCTTATTGGTATGAGAAGAGAAATGAAATAGGAGGCGTAGTTTGGTCTTAATGATGGACTTCAAAGTTCATAATCAATTCTCACCCAAAGAGGTGGAACTTTCAAGTCTGTGTGGTCCACGGATTTGGACCCTTAAAATTCTTGGGACCCATGGATTTGTTGCCCCTAAATACATGAAGTAAACAATGGGTTTTGGACAAAGTTCATGATGGTTACAAATCCATGAACAAATCTATCACCAAATTCATCAAGCAAACAACCCCTTAGAGCAAATACCAAATTCTTTCATGTTTTTTGTTATTTTCTCTAAATCTAGTGTCGAGAAGATTTTATCATTTTTTTGTGTACAATTTTAATAGAATAATATGGCGAACTGAACTGAACTGAAAGATCCTAGATTGCCTTCTGCTACAATTTATACTTCTTCACCCATGCAACCCATAATGATCTAACTTAAACTAACATGTATCATATATGGCGAACTACACATGCCTGATTCCATAACTTGAACCCTCCGATTCCCCAATACCCCCTCGTCCTTTGGCAAAGTAGTTGTATTCAATGCCACCAAAGCTCTCTTCCTCTTGTTAGGAACCCCAACACCCCAAAGAAAACGATCACAAAGTATCTTAATTTCTTTTAGGACCTTCTGGTTATTACAGAAGATGCCAATTGTAATTTTGTAATTTTCTAGCATAACTAAGCATACATGATACATGTCCGCCGAGATCTTATTCTCTATAATCTTGTATATCATAGCAGAACAGTCTTTTGAGGAGAGTTTACTTGTAATGAGTGGTAGGGGTGAACAAACACACTTACAAACCGACCCACCCGTCCAACCCGACCCAACCCACCCGTATTTATCGCTAAAACGAAAGTTTTGGGTTGGGTGAGGGTTTTCTTTTGTACAACCCGCCTCTTTTGGGTTGGGTTTGGATTTTGGATTACACAACCCGTAGAATCCGACCCAACCCGTGTTTCAACTATTAGTATGAGTTCGTATCTAAAAATATTTATGTCGTATATAGCCATACTTATGAGAAAATTAAGATATTTCGTCATGTTTTCCTATCATGGTCTCCCTAATCTAATGCATTCTTCGACTTAAAGTTTAGACATAAATTGAATATAGTTATGATTCACATCATCCTTTTTCTTGTGTACAATTTTAATAGAATAATATATTATGGATGCGTTTGTTTATAACCTTTTTTGTCTATTTCAACAAATATCATGAACAAAACTAGACATATGTTGAAGTAAATCACATTTTATTAAAATTCAAATAACATTTGTGAATTTTGATACCTTTCACCTTGGTTTATTAGTTTGAAATTTTAATTAGTTATAAAATATTTTTATGATGTATAATAATTATATATTTTATGTTGGGTTGGGTGTTTACTTAAAAATATCGCCAACCCGACCCAATCCAATTAGAAACAAACCGTAGGGTTTAAATATTTTTGGGTGGGTTTGGGTTTGATAATTCCCAAACCGTAGTGCATGGGTCGGGTGATTAAAATGGTTAAACCCGAACCAACCGACCCATGTACACCCCTAATGAGTGGGACTCCAAGATACCTTACCGGTAAGACCCCTAAATAAAACTATGAATAATTTGAAATCAACTGCTAATCCTCTTCTTATATACCAGAACATAATGGCTGACACTTAGCTAAGTTACACCTAAGCCCTCACTAACTATAGAACTATTCCAGAAGCCTTTTGATAACTGCAACTGCTCTGATTGAACCATTTGTAACTACTAAGAGATCATCTCTAAAACAAGATGTGTAATCTCTAAAGCTATACAACGAAGGTGATAAGGTATTTTTTCATATGCCACAATCCTACTCATCAAACATGAGAAATACTCCGAACCCACATAAACCTCCATTGAAGGACACATTGAGCATAGGAGTAGTGGCATATGCTTCTATAAGTGTCACAAACTCTTTTGAAAACCCCATTGCTATTAATATATTGAATAGAAATCGCCAATGAACTGAATCAAAGACCTTCATAAGATTGGTTTTAAGCACACATCTAGATGTAGTGTTCTTCCAGTGATAATCTTTAACTTATTCACTAGCCATCAAAATGTTATCACTAATTAGACTTCTTTTAACAAAGGCAGATTGCAACTTATTTTTTGACAGAGGAAAGAACAACTGCGAATCTATTGGATAAGATCTTTGAAATACCCTTCTATAACACATTGCAGCAAGATATTGGCCTAAAATCCTTCGTTTTATCCACATTGTCCACCAGTTTAACCACAATAGACCAATCACTTTTATAAAATCCAGCAGTGAACCCGTCCAGTCCAGGAGCTTTGTCATTTGGCATATGTTTAAACACCTCCCTTATCTCCTCCATAGTTATCGGAATTAACAGATTTTGAGCTTCAATAGGGTCCACCGTCAACCTCAACTTTTGCCGAAAGTATGCAATCGACCGATCCTGAACATTATTATCAACTTTCCCTAGTAGAGCTTTAGAAAATCCTACAACCACTTCTCCCATCTCTGCGATTTTCGTAACCATAGTACCATCCTCTCAAACTAACTTCATAATGGTTTGTCTATGATTTCTGACTTTAACCACATTGTGAAAATAGGTTGTGTTTGTATCACCTTCCTGAATCTAGCTGACTCTAGACGTCAGCCTATAAAAACTTTCCTCTACTACCACAGAGCTACAAGTTCTAGTTCTTGACTTATATTGTTCTTAGTAGGACAAGAGAACACCTCCTTTTGTTTTTTTTTTTTCAACTACAGACGCTGCCTCCCTTGTCCTTGCATAAATATCTAAGTATTAAGTGATGTTCAAAGCTTTCAATTTTTCTTTGAAAACCTTAAACCTCTTATAAAACTGCATGTTAGGCAACCCCCTAGCTGGTTCCCCCACGCTTCTTCTAATAGTTTTGCATATTGAGGATGTCGCCTCCAATACTTGAAAATACTTAAAAGTCTTTGGAAGGTACCAATCTTTGGAGTAGAATCCAAAAACATCTCGCATTGATATGAAACCCTCAGAGCAAGAGTTCTAGCAACATTATTTGGAAATTTATCTAGCCACTCTTCATTAACAAGTATTTTGTCCATATGCTTATAACAATAGTGTTTCCAGCTTGTTTGTCCCACCATGTGTACCAAGATCCCGTCACTCTGTGTTCTAACTATCTCATATCATTAATCCAATCTCTAAAATCCAAACTTCCCTATCTCATCACATTGGTATTTGAGGCTTCTGAGACATCGGCAATAGCATTAAAGTCACCCAGATATATCTCAGGCTCTCCCACAACCCTCTAAGGTAGCAACTCTGGGTAAAGCTATAAATGATCTTGAGCTTTGTTTTGGGACAAAGTGAGTGGTGGAAGCCGAGGAGTGAGTTTTGGGACAAAGTGAGTCAAAAACAACATTGAAAGGAGATAATAGAGTGAACACAACCTAGGACACATTCGTGTTCCTCACCCGTGTTCATTCAGGACGTGGTCATGGTCTCTAGGACATGTGTTCAATGGGTTCTTCAAAGAACATGAAAATCCAACGTGGCCATGCTCATATCCCAAGTCTAGTGCTGAGGAGCAGGAGTCAATTGACGTCTCGCGGGTAGTCGCAAGGGTCATAGTCTACAAGATCATGACATTAACCTAGAAACCGTGACGTCGACCAAAAATGGTGGAGATTGAAGAAGACTAAAGAACAAGACCTAGGACACGACCTTGTTCCTTAGCCTTGTTAGAGTTGCTTTAGCTTAACTTCAGCTGGCAAATGAAATGCAACACTTGGAGGTGAACACGACCTGGTGACACAGCCTTGTTCGAAACCGTGTTCTGCCTGATTCTTCATACTATAAATCTGTAGCTGCTGGTTTTGGGGAGGAGATCTTGAGAAGTTAAGAGAGATATTAGAGAGAGTTGGGTTTTAACCCAAAAAATATCTAATGGGTTTTTTTAGGGAGAGAGTTATCTAGAGTAGTCTTAGGACTGAATTGGAGGCTTGGATTTATCTTAGAGCAAGGAATCAAGCCTAGAAGATGAAGAAGGAAGATCTCAAGCATTGTATTGTAAATTCTCTCCTCTCTATGAATTAGCTCTCCTTCACTTAGGTTGATGAACCCTAGGTCTATATGTCTGTTTGATTGTTTATGTATGTGATAAACCCTATGATTTTGAACTAATATTATCTATTGAATTGAGTATTTATCACGCGATTGATGGATCTTGATCTCATCCCTCAATTGGGGTCTTTTAGACCTACATATCCCCCTAGGTTGAATAGAGTACTACTAATTCATCACCATGGATCTTTGAACGAGTGTGATATGATTCGTAGTGCCATATTGGGGTTTACCCAATCGTGGGAGTTGGTTGTGAACACCTCAATTGCCTAG